GTGACAGGTGCTGCGAGAGGCCTCGGCGGGCGGCGCATGCACGTTAGCAGTAGTATTAGACATTGTAGGCTATATAGTCTGTGTAAACTACATTTGCATGTCACATGTATACTGTTACATGTATGTAACAATATTTATGTGCATATTTGAAAATTGAATAAAAAATTATACGGTTCTATTAGCCTGGATGCCAGCCCGAACCCCACCCACAACATTTTTTGGTCGGGAAGTTCGGTCTGGACTCGCTCCATTGAGGAGTAATTATGATCGGTTCAGAAATCGTCGGGCCAATCAAATTGCCAGGGCGGGCTTTATACGATGATGGACAGATGATCTGCAGGGACGTAATCCTCACGTTATCAAAGAGCGCTTGGGTTGAACTGGTTTCCCTCACAGATGACTGCCGCTGGAGAACTGAGATGTAGAGATTCCGCTATCGCGTCTGTTGTAAAAGAAATCGACAGCGCATTCATTTTAAAAGACGAACAGAGAACTGCAATCAAGGCAGTTGTCGATCGGAAAGATGTGTTTGCCGTCCTTCCTATGGGATTCGGCAAAAGTTTAATTTATCAGCTGGCTCCGATGGTAACTAAGAAGATGGGACGCAATGAAAACCCTGTGGTCGTTGTGGTTTCTCCTTTGGTAGCACTCATAGAGGGCCAAGTAAAAGAAGCAACACTCGTTATTTTACTTCTTCCAGCGTGCGTGCATTTGAGTTCTGTAGTTGACAACTGTGCTATGCAAAGTAGTTGACTTACTGCGTTGCTCTGATTGGTTGTAGGTCTATCCAATTGAGTGCAGAGTTTTTTTTTCCTGGTTCGGTTAAGACACGCCTCATAATCAAAGCCCTGGCTATGAAGCAGTATCAGACTCACATTCTGACTAGAATATGAGTATGACGAAGTCAGGCTACGGTTCTATACTTTCAAATTAATAATTAAAATGACATGAAATAACAATGAATAATGAATAAATTAATTTTTTACATTTTAAACTATATATTAACATTATGAACAGACATGAATTAACAATTTGAGGTATATGAAATAATATTGCATATTTATAGTATAGTTAAAAATGAATGTTGAAAGTGCAGTATGTGATTTTTCAAAATCGTTGTTGAACAGTGTTGATATTTGAAATCAACCTAACTAAACACACTCCTCCCTTCATTGCTCCGCCCCCAAAATGCACAAACACACAATGCAAGAGTGTCTCTTTATCATGGCAGAAGCGGAGCAAAATAATGCTTCCCGAAAAATAAAGCGAAGACGGCGAGCGAACGACAAGGAAGCACAGGAATGCTTTGGCCTCTCCAGCGCTGGAAAGCTTTTCCAATATTAATGCTCTTGCCTGATCATAACCTTCTTTTCCCAGTGATATTCCTCAGAGATTTTCTCTTTTGTAATGTCTCTTAGCCATCTCTCTTTCTACAGTCGTTCTTCAAATCTCCCTCTTTCTCCCTCTCTCTCCTCCCCCATCACGAGTGACACGCCCCCTACTGCTGATTGGCTACAAGTGTGTTGTGCTGCTCGGTCTAATCAACTTTCAACAGCGTTTTTCAAAAATCGCTTACTGCACCTTTAACTAATTGAAAACTTGATGAAAATTTTTACCATTTATTCATTTGGTAGCTTGAATTTCACAATGAGCAATTTTTTAAATGACTTGCAAAAAATGAGATGCAAGACCCCTGTATTATTTATTTCATACACACTATATGGATTGTATCCCTTTTGGCTTTCTTTAAATTGTGAGGTCAAAAAGATTTTGCTAATAGCCCTGCTATCTTTTCAGTGACAGGGCAAATAGAGCGCCACACTAGGCTGCTGTCACTCTTATCAGCTCTCACGTCGAACAAAATCAAAGAGATTCCTCTTCCGTCAAGGGCAAATAAATGTCATCACCACGGGCCACAAAGTATGAAAGCACTGTAAACAGTCTGCATTTGCACTTGAGCACACACACCATTCATATTACGTACACATGCGTTCTCCTTCCATTCCCCGTGAGTTCCTCCGCGCTGTGGGGAATTGTGAACTGTGAGAGGCTCGCTGTAAAACATTAAAAACCCAACCACAGCCCTAAATTCCATGAGATGTTTGCTAACCCCATGCCTGTGTCTGAGAGAACTGTGGGGGCTCAGGGGGATGTGATGAATGGGCCGAAGGAGCATGATGAATGTGGCTGGCGGGGTCTGCGTAAATGTGTGTGTGAGGACGGCCATCGGGGTTTGGGTATGCATGGAGGGTTAAGATAAAGCAGAGAGGAGAATCTCACACTGAACTGTGAGGGGGAAAAGAGAGGAGAGACAAGTGTGTGAGAAGACAAAGAAGGGAGAAGGGAAAAAGTTTGTAATCGATCATTTAAAGTTCTATAATATATAACTTTATATGGTTTATAATCTATTCAATAATCATAAATTAGATTAATAAATATTTGAATAAACAAAGTCAAAATAGATGAAAAGTACTGGTAAAATGACTGTTGGACATACATTTTTCACAATCCAATCAATTTCTGACGGATAACTTCAAGTCCCGTCCTACCTTTTTTCTCATTTTTTTTTACTTTGAAATTTGTTGTATTATGAAAGTAAAATGAATTTCAAATTTCATGTAAAAATTCTACATCCTATTTGCCAAATCTTATTTTCTTCAAAAAATAATAATGTGTATATTAATGTGTGATTATATATATATATATATATATATATATATATTATAGAGAGATTTTGTATGCACACACACACACGCATCACGGTTAAAATATGAATGTATTCAACATTGATAATAATAAGAACAGTTTCTTTAGGACCAAATCTTCAAAGCTTTGCCATTACAGGAATAAATTATATTTTAAAATATATTAAAATAGAAAACAGTCATTTTAAATTGTAACCAAATCTCACATTATTACTGTTTTTAATTTATTTTTGATTAAATAAACGCAGCCTTGTTGATTATAAGAGACTTCTTTCAAAAACATGAATAAATATATAGACCCCAAACTTTTGATCTATAATGTATAGTACGTGGTGTGTAATATGGTAAAAATCCAGATTGAGTGTCTTGAACAGGAAATGGATTTGGGTTACAGAGCTGTTCTTTTTGTGAAATCCTTGTTACTCTTGGTCACAGCTTCTCTTTTCTGTTACTGTCCAGATGAGGTAAAACGACTGCTGGGTTTTGTCTGCTTCATGGCCCCAGTTAACCTCCCTAACACGCTCTCTATTTATGAACGTTTATATGCAATATACATTCTGTAGTTGTCTGTTAGCGTTCTTGTTATATAAACCCTCCAGTTACATCTGTCTTTTCTCATTGTGCAACCTCAACTTTGTTTTATTAGGCCTTTATATTTTATTTAATATTTTATTATGTATACTCTATTCCAGAATATTCTGTAATCTTGGATCTATTATTGTAGTTTAACTTCCAACCGTTCACTCACACATATCTTTAAATGATGTTCCTGTGGGGTTGGCTGCTGGTCTCTGGCAGTAAGTCACAGTTCTTTGTGCAGCATGGCAGGATGGCCCTTTTTAAGGTTGTTATAAATTGGCAGTATGCAGTAATAATTTCACCAGTCCTGCAGAACATCTTTGAAGGGTCGCTCTAAGGTGCACGATTCTGAGTTATATACACAGCAGGTCAACAGGGGTGGGCTCTTCTTACGTAACCCCAGATTTGGCATGTCACACTAGTTAGCACATGGAAAATAAAGCAAACTCTCTCTTTATTTTCTTCTTCTTCTTCTTTAAAAAAAATTTTAAATACCAGTCAAACCTTTGGACACACCTATGGGTTCTTTACTACTATTTTCCACACTGTAATAATAGCTATGCCATCAAAACTAAATGATAGATAGATAGATAGATAGATAGATAGATAGATAGATAGATAGATAGATAGATAGATAGATAGACAGACAGACAGACAGACAGACAGACAGACAGACAGACAGACAGACAGACAGACAGACAGACAGATAGACAGATAGATAGATAGATAGATAGATAGATAGATAGATAGATAGATAGATAGATAGATAGATAGATAGATAGATAGATAGATAGATAGATAGATAGATAGATAGAATAACATCAAGACATGTTTACCGGTTTCACATATGGAGTTTAGACACTGTCTGGTTAAGTGAGATAAATGACTAGTTCCTCTGTCCTGTCCTGGGAAAAGCAACAGCAGTGCTGATCCCCAAAGTCTACTTTCCACCAGACACTATAGAAAGGTATTTTATCATAGTTATCCTTTTAATAGATCCCCAGCTAATAGACATCCATACGTTTTCAACATTTGGAGTAAAAACGTTTTCTAAAAGCGTTCACACAGAGGTTTCCCCTATCATCTTCCACACCGATGTCAGATTGTGCGTATGATTTTTTTCAGGTGGGAAACACTGCCGCCGTGTGGTGAAACTTCAAATGAAACCGTTTCGCAAGTGCAGATTGTGGAAATGCCAAATGGCGCTTCTGAGTCGCCGTATTATTCTCAACGCAGGAAATGTTATATCATTGGTTTTAAACAAAATTGTTTTTATGCTCATATTTAAAGAACAAACTAAATTTACGAATATACATTTATTTATATGGCTTGTTGTAACTAATAAATATATGAGTTTTATATTTGCAAAACTACCATATTCTTCTTCCATATTTAAAAAATAATAATAATAATACAAACCATAACCATCAACAGTAGATTTTTTTTTTTTAAGATATAAACATTAACTGGAATAAAAGAGAAAAAATGTAAATAAATGACAGCACTTACTCGACAAATTATATATCGAATATAACTCAATAAACAAAGCAAAATAAGATGTACAAATACTGAAATATTACAATATTGCTTTTATAATGTGATTTTTACTAATTAAAACTATAAGGTTAAAAAAAGTCACAAATTAAAAATAAATTAAAACGTCTCTGATTTTTGCATATTCATTGCCCAAAGCGGAAGTTTCATTGTGATGTCACGTTTACGTATTCCACGTCACGGAAGTCACACAGACATGATCCATTTGCAGCCCAAACCAAGCGGATAACTTGGGTTGTCGGTCTTGTAATGTTGTAGTACTTTACAGGATATAGACTCAGGACTGCATTGGTCTAAAAGAGAGCCGATAACTTTCAAAATCGGAGGCGCTGAGTTGCTGGGCGAGCCCGCCTGCCGTTTTGCAGGCTAGCTCGCTAGTTAAGTAGCCTGCAGCCTTGACGACGAACCGAGTAACTAATCTCAAGACAGCCATCGAGGCAGCCTGTAGTTATTTCATTTTACCGTCCTCTTGTATTGCGTAGCCATGGCAACTCGGCGACTAACCGATGCCTTCTTATTAATGCGGAACAATGCAATCCAAAACCGGCAGATTTTGGCTGAGCAAGTGAGTACATACGACCCCCGTCGTACTCTGAATACACGTAGCAATGCTGCGGTGAGTCTAACGTTCATTGTCTGAATTGAATGTTTTCGCGTGTGTGTGTTGGATTCTCAGCTAGCTAGACAACATCCCTAGCTAGTGATGTTTGTTGATGTCAGTTGTCCAACAAACCTCCACTGTTTTGTTTGCTGTGTGCGGAGCTGGCAGGTCTGTGCTAAACGGCTAGCTGATCACGAAACAGTTTTCATACAGTCGCATTTTGATTTAACTCAGACGGGAATGGCAATGGAGTTACTAAAAAGGTGATGGTCGTGCTAGTTTAAGGACGTTTAGATCATCAGTGTATCTGCAGGGAACATCATGATGCCAGTGACCCCACAATATATAACGTTTACTTAAATCGCCCCCTTAAATATAAAGCAGATGTATGTTTTCCGATCCATTTATATTGTATTTGGAACAATATTAAGCATTATATTATAAGGAGAAGTTCGTTGGCTTTTATATTGTCATTGTAGCAAAAATAATTGATGAAAATATTAGCTGGGTAATATTTACCTCATATTAAGTCTTGTGTGTGTCACTTGAAATTATGAAATTGTAATGTCAAATCCAGTATACACTACCGTTCAAAAGTTTAATAAAAAAAATGTTTTTGAAAGAAGTCTCTTCTGTTCACCAAGGCTGCATTTATTTGATAAAAAATGCAGTAATATTATAACAATGTAAAATAAAAATGTTCTATGTAAATATGTTTTGTATTTAAATGTATTCATTTTGATCAAATTAAGGCATACTTGCTGAATAGAAGTATTAATTTAGTTTACAAAACTTCCTGAGATTTGTAATGATGATATAGCGTAATTTTAATTAAACGTAGCCTATATAAATTCTGGTTATCTGGGAGTATATATAATACAAAGTTAAAATAGTTATTTTTTTAATAATATCATAAAATGTATGCATCTTTATATCACCTCCCCTTAAATGACTCGAAGCTGTCATATGTCATGTGATAGCTGCTGTTTATTCATTTAAATACATAATTAATAACTGTAATGGTGAGCTTTATTGTTACATTTATAAAAGGTTTTTGTGAGACAACTTTGGTGCTCTACAGTATATAGAGCTTATTCAGAGCAGCACCGTCGACAGTATGAAAATGAGGCTGTGAGGGATAGACTTGCCGTGTTTCCAATGGCATCCGCTGTATAAAGCTCCTAGATTACTTACAATTTTCTACAGTTTATATTGTCGGGAGTTTTTTGACAACTGAAATTTGTTGGTAAGATATTTTTTCCAGTGTTTCATGAACAGAACAATCCAAAAACACATTAAATAACAGTACAGCCCATTGAAGAGATGCATGTCTTTCCCTCACAGCCCCTTTCGTTCCCATTAAAAATCAAAGATGGTGCTGCTGTTAGTCAAGTTATGTTTTTACCGTTTTAAAAATGAGACTCCAGAGGAAGGCAGTATGTTTTGTCTTCCAATCTTCCATAGATATTTCCTTCAGATTAGCTGTGTATCACATTTTTCTTTCTCTTTGATGCGGGTGGGCGGCCTGGTATCCAGCATGATTTGAAATAGTCCTGTATCTTTATAGGGCAGGGTTCCTCAAATCTTGCCCTGGAGTGGAGAGCCAATGCCCTGCAGAGTTTAGCTCCAACCCTGATCAAACACACCCGAGAGAGCCAATCCAGGTCTTCAGGATCACTAGAAAATCACAGGTATAGTAGGGGAGTTTGATCAGGATTTGAGCAGTGGCCCTCCGGGACTGGATTTGACAAACCCTGTTATAGGGTATTGATTGGGTCTTGACAGACAGATCTGTCAGTGTGATATTTGTACCTGTGAAGAGTGACAAAGTTACTAGCACGGACGTCATTCCAATCATATATCATGCCTGCTTGTGTTTTGTCTGGTGTAGTGGCTCCATTCCTTACTATCTGCTTGCATGTTGATTTTTCCCTGTTTGCACTTCTTGTGATCTGAGCACCTCTTGCACTGTCTTGCAAAAATCCTTACTGAATCTTCTGCTGTGCATTCATTGTTCAGATAATCGTTACAATAATCGTGTCACTTTGTTGTTTTGGGTTAAAAATAGGATTTATCTATAAGCTTAATCATTTTACAAATTCAGTAACAAATTGAAAATGGGTTGATTTTTCCAAACCTAATATCTAGTGAGTTTATGAATCAGTAGCACAATTATACAGTGGGATTGAGATGTTATTGGGCTGGAATGGACAAATCTTTCATGCCTTGAACTTTATAGCAACGTTATGCATTTGATATAAATAATTCACATAGTATTTTTATATGTATATGCATTTCCATATCCTACAATAATATATAAGTAACAATTTGCATTTACTGTTTTTGTTTTTGTTTTTTTTTGTTCTTGATTTGTCCAGTTCTGTCCAAGTCCTGCTGTCAGTCTTTTTGATGCTGATCACTTCTTTTTGTCTTGGGCTCCTCTGCTCTCACTCCTATTGTCCCTCCCCTTCTCTTCTATCTCTCCTCTCATTGGATGGGACTTCGCCGGGCTCTTCCAATCACATTAGGAGTTTGATGAGGTAACCTTGATGTTTTAACCTAAGTTTATGGGTAGATCTGAATCAACGTCCCATTGCTAATCTCCGCCCCCTTGATTACGGTTGCTAGTTTAGACTAGCTTTACAGAACTTCCTTTTGGGAAGAATTGATTAATTGATTGATTAATTTATCACCATAAAAATATGGATCTACATGCTCATTTAAGAATGAGAGAATGCATTCGAAACTATCCAAACACACACGACTTACATAGACTTGCATTAGAAAAAAACAAGAGCTTGTCTGATAATAATGGAACAATAGTAGGATAATGTTCAGTTCCAATTTTAAGGCGGGGCTTAAAAGGGTCAGTTTTTGTGCAGAAATGGGAACACCATCATTTATATCCTTCATTCCTCGTGTGTTTTTGTTTATTAAATATTTTGCCTAATTTGATGATGCTTTCATCTACCAATACTAGGACTGGGTATCGATACAGGTGTCCCGATTCGATTCCAATTCACAAGAATTTCAATTAAAATCTAACTAATATAAATGTATAAAAGATTATTAAAGACAAGTAAACGGTCATTAATAAAAAAAGAACAAATAATCAAACGCAAATATAGCGCAAATAAATAAATACAGTAGACCAAAGATACGAATGAAATAATCAGTGCTTTTCGGGTTTTGCAGGTAGATTAACTTTAGTTTTCAGGTACAGAAATTGAATGTAAAGTAATCAAATGTAAAACAACACTGCATGTAATCTTTATTGTACAAATTAAATAAAGGTTAATCCTTATAAAATGTACAAAAAAAAGTTTTTCAGTGAAGAGCAGTGAGTGATTTCTTTGTCTTTTGTCTTTTGATTAACTTTAAAAACACAAGACAGCAGCAGGAACATTAGGCTGATGTCACTTAAAGACAAATGCACGGATCCAATATAATGATACACATGCGTTGTCTTTCTCTACTGTTTACGTTCACTTAAGCCATAACTTTGTTTACTAGGATACTCGCCAAGGTGGGCATTTGATATAAATCTGTGTGAATTTGTCCATTCAAGCGCAAGGAGACGTGAAAGATAATTCATTATATTGTTTGCATGCTGTCTGAGATACACAGCTTTCTGTGTGCACTTTAGATGTGTGCGAACAGCGAACACAAAACTTCTCACACAGAGCGCAGCGCACTAGTTCTCTTTCGGGTCTTCTTACGCATGAAGGCGCACATGAATCCGCCATGTTAGGCACCGAATGAATGACGAGGTCCCCACTGTCGCGCAAGGTAAATAAGAGGATGACATCTATTCTAGCGGAGAAAACTAGTGATAATAAGACTAACATCAATCAGATATTATGTTCAAAGTTTTACGGAAATAATTACGGAAAAAAGATAAATTAGCCCTTAGTAATAAATAATGCAAATACATTTGACAGGTTTACCGTATTTAAATGTATTGCACAGATATTCTCAACAAAGAAATGTGATGTTTGCTGTCTTGTTTCTCTGTCTGTTAGTTGGCTGATGATCGTATGGCCCTGGTGTCAGGCATCAGTTTGGATCCAGAGGCTGCTATCGGTGTCACGAAGAGACTCCCGCCTAAATGGGTGGAGGGAGTGGATGAGGTAATTAGATGATTGTTTTAAGTGTTCTTAAAAAGAAAGGATGGGATGCATTGTTGATCAGTGACATTAAAGGAATGTTCCAGTTTCAAAACAAGTTCAGCTCTACCGATGGCATCTGTGGAATGCTGTAAATCACTAGAGAAAATCATTTAGACTCATCCCTTAGTTTGTACAAACAAAAACATGTGACCACAGTAGGTTCTAGCAGAAACATGCTGCTTGCATTATGATTAAACTACCATTTTTGGGTTCATTCAGATTTTTAAAAAAGAACTTATTACGTTTATTCAGCAAGGACATATTACATTTATCAAAAATGACAGCAAAGACATTTATAATGTTACTACAAAAGAATCCTGAAAAAAATGTGTCACGGTTTCCACAAGAATATGAAGCAGCACAACTGTTTTCAACATTGATAATGATAATGTTTCTTGAGTAGCAAATCATTAGAATGATTTCTGAAGTATCATGTGACACTAAAGACTGAAGAAATTATGCTGAAAATTACATTTTAAATATATATTCGAATAGAAAAGTTATTTGAAATTTTCACAATATTACTGTTTTTACTGTATTTTTGACCCTATGAATGCAGCCTTGATGAGCATAAGAGATTTCTTTCAAAAACATAAAAAAAATCTTACCGACCCCAAATGGAAGTGTATATTAATTTTTAGTGTATACATTTTTAAAAAAAAAATAATAAGTTGTTACTGGCAAGACTACTGTTCTAGGTGGATGATGCATTTTTTTTTTTATACATTGCATTCATGCAAATGGATGTATCAGTTAAAATAATTTCTGTGTTTATCCTGAACCTATGGATATTTGACTTTCGTATACATAGTCTTCTATCCATAGTCAACCAAGTATGACATTAAGATGTTAGTTCAGCTGGAATGTTAATTTCATCTCTGTTTAAGAGACAGACAGTGAATTCCTTGTTCCCACAGATTCAATATGAAATCACACGTATTCGTCAGAAGATGAAGGAACTGGCTAGTCTGCACGACAAACACATGAACCGTCCCACGCTGGATGACAGCAGTGAGGAGGAGCATGCCATCGAGATCACTACACAGGAAGTTACACAGGTATAATAACACGCACATAAATCATGTTTTATTATTACTGTGACATCTGTTCATAACTAAAGCGGTTAAAGTGGACACAGGAAAACTTCAGCAATTGATCTGCACACATCATAAAACGAAACAATTTTCAGCATCTGCATATTATGTGTGTGTAGATGTTTCACAGGTGCCAGCGGGCCGTGACGGGGCTGCAGACTCAGAGTCATCACTGTACAGAGCAAGAAAACAGGCTGTTGACCAATGTGGTGTCTTCATTGGCCCAGAGCCTTCAAGAACTGTCAATCAACTTCAGACACACACAGTCAAGCTACCTAAAACGTAGGTGTATGCACACAGAAACACATTATATATGTTGACAGGGCTGTACAGTGTGACGTACACGTGCGATTGAAAAAATTTACCTTAGAAGCACACATGCGATACAGTTTTGCATGTGTGTGAGACAGCAGCTTTTCTGTGGGAATTGAGTTTGTTGTGTTTTTATTTGTGTGTGAGGTTTATCTAGGGCTGCACAATTAACTGAAATGAAACCAAAATCATGATTTGGTTTAGTGCGATTATGATCTTGCAAAGTTTACACTACACCGGGCCGTTTACACTACATCTTTTTCAACTAAAAATTTAACACTTTTTATGCGTTTTGGCTGGTCCTTTACCCGTCAACGCCGTTTTGGGAGCCTGAAAGGGCAAACCTTTGAAAACGGGATTAAAATTGCAAGTTTTTGAAAGCAAATTTGTGAAAATAGTGACATCATAGGCATGCATATTACGTGTTCAGTCTATAGGTGCGTCAAAGAGTATAGAGGTACTTCTATACTCTTTGGGTGCGTAGTGTTTCTTTACAAATTGACATTGCCAACTCCTGGCCTGGCAGCATAATACAATGTTCTTAGTTATTTTCATGGATCCGTGTGAACGGGGATTGTCATCTGTATGCGAAAAAAAAAAAGCAAAGGAAAAACGTTTCCGTTTTTAGGACATCTTTGTTGTGTACCCTTACCCTTGTGTTCCTTAACTTCACTTTAAACTTAAATTGAGGCTCTTTAAAATACAAAATGCTGACATGTGTCACTGTATGCTCAGTTCTTTGATTTGCTTTTATTTTCAGGCATGAAAAACCGTGAAGAAAGATCCAAGCACTTTTTTGACTCTGGTCCTCTTGTGGAGGAAGATGAAGATATTGCATTATATGACAGAGTGAGAATGTTGTACAAATACTCTACATATCCTTAATTCTTTCATCTCGAATTCCAAATATTTAAGCATTTATACTACATACATGTTTACATATTGATAATAAGCCAATCAGTGTTTTGCTAATTTTATAATTTTGCACTATTGTTGGAAGCAGATAATATCCATTTTAAACACCAAGCTTTATGCTAAAACTATTAAACACTTATATTATAAGGTTTTGATGCCTAATGTCCTTAGCTTGTAAATTCTAAATTCCAGACTATTTGAGTAAATGCTGTATAGATTTATATTTTATATTGTCCATAATATGAAATTATATATATTATTGTCAATAAACGGTTGACATCTGGCTGTGTGTGACTAAGTGTCTTTCTCACTCTCTTAGGGATTTACAGATGACCAGCTAGTTCTGGTTCAGCAGAACACAGTGATCGTAGAAGAGCGGGAGAGAGAAATTCGACAGATCGTTCAGTCCATCTCTGACCTTAATGAGATATTTAGAGATCTTGCTGGAATGGTTGTTGAACAGGTCAGTGTTCTTTTTGATGGAATAAAATATTAAATAGAGCAGGTTCCATCCTTAACTTGTGCAATTTTAGATTCTTTATACATGTATAGGTACAGTATATACAGCTAGGGAGCTGATTGAGACGCACCCTGGGTCCCCAGGAGCAGGGTTGAAGACCTCTGCATTAATGTCAATGTATATATTCAATTCAGGGCACAGTCCTCGACAGAATCGACTTCAATGTCGAGCAAGCTTGTGTCAAAACAGACGAGGGGTTGCAGCAATTGCAAAAGGTGAGGCCCTTATCAAGCCTGATGATGTGTTAAGCAACATGTCAAGGGTTAATTGCTTACATTTACTTTTTCAGTAACTTGTTGAGTAATATGAATGGACTTTGCGATATCCACATGACAGTTTAAAAGTAATATCGCATAGTAGAGATGAAAAGCACACTAAATGTTTCTCTTTTCTTTTTTAGGCTGAACAGTACCAGAAGAAAAACCGCAAGATGTTGGTCATTTTAATTCTCTTTGTCATAATTGTTATTCTAATACTTGTTCTGTTCGGGACAAAGTTTAGTTGAATCATTCCATGGCCTCTAGGAGGGATCTACCTGTATGTATGAGAAAAAACACGTATTTCTCTGTGTGTGTGTGTGTGTGTGTGTGTGTGTGTGTGTGTGTGTGTGTGTGAGAGAGAGAGAGAGAGAGAGATGGTCTGCATGCTGACTTTAAAGACCATTCTTGAGGGTGGATTAATTGTTGAACGGATGAAGCTTAAGTTTTAAAGTACTACACAACAAAATGAAGCAGATAAGGACGCCCACTGCTGGCCACCGAGTGCAGTGTCTGGAGACAGTTCATGGGTTTAATTCTCCAGTGTTAGTACCCAGGTTCCTTTCAGTTGGAGCCATCAGAGGGCCTGTTTTCTTCATTTGTCCCGCACAAGCACAGCACTTATGAGCATGGCTGCAAGATGGCAGCATGTTTGTCTCAACCGCCCTTGTCATCTAATTTGACGAGTAAACAGGAAGACGATGGGGAAAGATAAGGTATCCTCAGAGGTCTGTAGCTCTCCTTGAACATGACCAAATGTGCTTGGGTGAATCTTCAAAAGAATGTCCAGGTCATATTTTACCACAATAGAAAGAAATATTAAATTATATACAGCATTTCCTAAAGTTTTTGTTAAATCTTCATATTTTCCCAATATTTTTATTATTATTTTTGCATTGTGAATCACATTTCCCCTCTCAGTTATCATTACTGTAATGCATAATTTAATTTTTAAAGCAAAAATTAAAAAGTACAGTTGCAGTATTACAGTATTTTTACTGTATAACAATTATAAAAATCTGATGGAACGGAATCACAATTAACAATAATGTAAAGGAAAGTGGAATAAGCAGGAATGGGCTTAATGGACATCAAAATAAATTCACAATACAAACTCGTAATTTGGTGTTAAATTTCACCTGAGTCCCACTTTTTTGTGAGCATCTACAGTGAAACCTCAGAAACCATCTTACAGTGAAAGCTGCCTTTGAATCAGATCTTTGCTTGTAGGTTAGGGTGTGTGTGTTTAATGTGACGTCACAAAGTCTGTGTTTTTCCGTAACTCAATCTTTTGTATGTTTGTGCGTGTGTGAGAGGAGATGCACTGACACTCAATCAACCATGGAGAAAGTTGAAGACCGAGGAATGAGGAACACATTGTCGAAGCATGTTCTTTCTACAAAACTTTTAATTATGCTTTTTTTATTTCTATTTGGTAAAATGTATAGCATTGGGATTATGACCGGTAATGAATGAACTGAATGTTACATTGTCCTTTATGAGTGTTCATAACAAAGCGTTATTTTCTCTGCTCACGTCGGCGGAGGTGTATAATGTACCATCATGTGTTTGTCTATGTTTTAATGGCAGTGTTGTTGTCATGATATCAGTATCATTTCAGTGAAAAGCAGGAGTGATTCCTCAAGGTTTTTTGCTTCACTCTCTGTTCCTTGCCTTAAAAAGTGGACATCTGTGTGTGTGCACTAAACTTGGATGTTTTTTAAAAGCTTTGCTTGTCCACGTTTCATTGGTGTTGTCACAACCGTATCTTTCAGTCTGACCTTTGATCTTAAACTGAACTTTGACCTTCAGTCCCTGACTGAAGCTCGGTCAGGTCTGCTGACTGACTGTACAACTACTGTCCCCTGTACAAGATGAAATTATTTATTTTAGATGCAAATACGTGTACAGAGTTTATGGAGTTCTATTGTTGTCTGTTGGCAATGTCTGGAACCTGGGCTGTTTTTGTTATATTATAATGATGATTTACTTTTTTCTGTCCTTTCAAAAATCAATTCTTGTTGGCTTTTGTAAAGGGTAGTTGCACCACTACTGTATGATGATGGGGTAAAAATGATTACGTTGACCAAGATCCAGAGACAGTTTATTCTTATGTTATTTTAGAAGGTAAAGAGAAAATATAACTGCACATTCAAGGCTTAAATCCATTTCATGTGGTTTTCTTCATGGTTTTGGCGTGAAACCCAGTGTGAATATTATATTTTTCTGCCATTATGGTACTACTGTATGCTATTTGAACCTTATGTAAACATGTTTTTAATGAAATTAAAACAAATATATATATATAAAGACAAATGTTGTGTGTTATTTAATATATGTACCTAATAAATAAGCTATCTACACAATGGAGATGGTAAATTTTTTTCCCTTGTTTTAAGCCTTTATCACCTTACTAAGACTTTGTATTGATTATCAGCTGCCACTACATCTCCCAATAATGGCTTATTGGGTGATGTAGAGTGACAATATTTATATGCAGTTTTTGTAAGAAGTTGCTGTTCTGTTATAAAGATCTCATTGTTTTACATGCTGAATTTCATCTTACGCGTTGGCCGTAAATATCAGCAACTGCATCAAATTTCATATTTTTTTGCTTTAGTTGGTCGTAGTTTAAAATGTTTAAGCCTCTTGCTATGTCTTTAAATTATAAGTAACACTTTAAAATAAGGTTTCATTGTTGCACATTAGCTAGGCTAACTACATTAGATCATGAACTAACAATGAACAGTACTTGCATTTACTAATCTTATTTGATGTTCATTTCAACATTTATTAATACATTTTTAAAATCAAAAGTTGTATGTTAACATATAGGCATTAATGCATTGTGAATAACTATTTTTAGAGAATAACTCTAACAAAGATTAACGAATGTTGTAAGGAATAGGCCTACATAGCACACTGTTAGTTCATTTTCGCAAATACATTACTAATGTTAACAAATGAGACCCTATTGTAGTGTTACCAAATGATAAAACATGACGTGGTTCTTTGATACAGGTATTGAATTGAATGATTACCATATTCGTACACCGTGAGATACTGCAAATAATTTTACAGTCTTAAGTTTTGCATTTTTATTAGCACTTTATTGTTCGGAAAGCACAGAAAAAATATGTAGATATAAATAAATAAATAGCGCTCTCAACACAAGGGCTCGCGAGACGAGCGGGAGGTTAAAGTGCATCTTCCTTCTGAAGAGAGACTGTCATTCGGCAGGAAGATGGCGAACGTACTGCTTGAGTTCAAGGCTTCTGCCGGGGACTCAGAGCCGCAGAACCGCCCGGTCCTCATCGTCGGCCAGCTCGCCAATCTGCAACAGATTAACTGGAACCAGGTGAAAGGGAAACTGCAGCCAGTGGTCACAAAAGAGGTACCGTACATAATGTTTAATAAAAAAGTAACTCCGCTTGTAAACACAGAATGACGTTAGCTTACAGGCTAAAGTTCTGCCTGGGCTGTTAGTGTTGTGTTACAGACCGCTAATCTGCATTTACTAATGGAAACGTCTGTTATAGATAATTATAAAAAGATAATTAAAATCATTTTAACGAATTAAGTTACTTTTCTTGACTGGCTCTTAATTTAATGAAATGACTCTTATTTTACAGTTCTGATTTCTTCCCACTAACAAAAGGTACCATGATATTACCCTGTCTATTGATATTGGACATGCCATGGTTTTCTGGAGATATACAATAGTAATGACATTGTATTCTTTGGGCATACTATGGTCTTCAGGTACTTCCAGTATTTAATACCACTTACACCATGGTAATAGTAATACTGTGGTATTTTTGACGTGGTAGCATGGCAATATCTTTTTACTTTACTGGGCATGTCCAGCTGTTATATTCATTAACATATTTTTGAACACATGTAAATACCAATGCTTAAGAATATAATAATCATAAGGATGCACTGATACGAACATTTTGGCTTATACCAATAACCGATAGTTCTTTATATTTTAAAGCCGATAACCGAAATATTGGTCAGTAAATGAAAATACAGATTTTTATTTCGTTATTGAGGCCCTGATTACAAAACCAAAAGTTTCACCATAAAAGCCATGTCCCAAGCACACAATTATAATGTTCGAACTTCTCATTATAATATTTTGTATCACAGACTTGCGCTGCACATGTTGCACTTAACTGTATTTTCCTTTTTTTAAGTGATTCCAATCATATTTCAAGCAATTCAAAACCATAATTGCGAACAGTGTGCATCTGAAATGTCTCGGCTGAAGGAAATAATCCATTAATGATCGGCTTTAATATATTAATGATAACATTAAAGTGAACATAAAATGGCCGTTATATCATGCATCAGTAGATAATACTCACAGGAATCAGCACATCTGATATTATTATTGTCATACAGCCAGTACTTTCTTACAATTTCAAGCACATCATGTTGTTTTGTAATGTTTGGTCAAATCTGTAAAGTGAACATTTATCATCATCATTAAGACATCCTGATAGACCTGACACTCTGGATTGTTTTGATTTGCTGCCTGTGCATGTGATCTATAATATGATGTTATTTTTCTTCACACTGTAGATTAGGTTTTAGGTTCACAAGCAAATAATATTGCATTCTACTACCATTTTTTTGCCACACATTTTTGTTTATGTGTGCTGTATCTGTATTTGCATTCAGATATGGCAGGCAGCTTTGTCTTCTCTGAACCCCAACCCTACGGATAGTTGCCCGCTGTATTTGAGTCATGCCGCTGTGGCAGCCCTTCCTTCACGAGTCAGCCGTCACAACAGCCCATCATCTGCCCACTTCCTCACCCGACTGGTCCGAACCTGCCTGCCTGCTGGCAACAACCGCTGCATTGTGGTCAGTCACATGTCACACCACTATTCATATGCTTATAACTCAAATTGTTCAAATAAACTAGGGAAATATGTCAACTGTTTCAGACTGCATTGGTTTTATAGCTTGTTGCTTAATGCATGTTGGTTTGTCTTCATTTCCCTTTTCTTTTGCTCATGATTTCCATGTGATGTGAACAATCTCTGTTTAGACGGATCTGTAACAGTAATTCATATGAAATTACTAGGGCTGTCAAACGATTAATCGCGATTAATCGCATCCAAAATAAAAGTTTGTGTTTACATAATATACGTGTGTGTGTATACTGTGTATAATTATTTTCATAAATAATACCCACACATGCATGTGTATTTAAGAAATATTTGCATGTATATAGACTGAATGTAGCCTATATATAATGTATATTTTATATAAATATAAACATTTTATATAAAAATAACATGTTTTTCTTAAATATATACATGTGTGCATTAATATACCAAATAATTATACACAGCACACACACATATTTTATGTAAACACAAACTTTTATTTTGGATGGGATTAATCGTTTGACAGCCCTAGAAATTACATTTTAAAAAGTAAAATAATAATAAATGGTAAACACGTTTCAAAAGTGTAGTCCCAACACGTTAAATGTTAGAATCAAGAAACAATTTGTAGTTACTTTCTTTTGCGATCAGTATTATGCCACAAATACTGTTGATGCAGCTTAAAACGTTTCTGCAAATGTCACATTAGTTAAAATGGTCCGTTTATTATTGGCTTCTCAGATGGTGTGCGAGCGTTCTGAAGTGTTCGCATCAGCGTGTGCCATTTCCCGAGCTTTCCCGCTGTTCACCCGCCGCTCGGCGTCTTCTCGCAGGACAGAGAAGAAGCGCGTCGCTGTGGAGTTTGTGTCTGTGGGTCAGGACAACGGCCCCCTGGAGGTCTCCACACTGGAGGTAAAGTGTTCAGATCTACTTCCTCATGCCACAGATCATCAAGTTG